CACATTTTGTAAGGCATTCAAAGGATTGGGATTTTGATGACGATCTTAAGCATTTGGCGTCGTTGGTTTGGACCCTTTCTTCTCAAGGGAGGTTTCTTCTCAAGGAAGGCTTTTAGATGATCCGAGGGCTGCTTTCCCTTGGAAGGTAGTGTGGCACACCAAGGCCCCCCTTAAGGTGGCCTTCTTTTGTTGGACGGTTGTTCTGGGGAAGATTCTGACTTTTGACTATTTGAGAAGGAGGAGACAGGTTGTGGTCAACTGGTGCTGTATGTGCAAGAGGGACGAGGAAATGGTTGATCATCTTTTGTTGCATTGTTTTAGGTTCCTTGGGTCACGCTAAGGACCTTGTTCGGCTTGATTGAGGCTTGGAGAGGATGTATAGTGGGACACAAACCCGTGACTCTTGGAGATGGGAGGACTTAGGATGCTCATTTTGTAATGCATTTCAAGGATTGGGATTTAGATATCAATCTCAAGCTTTTGGCATTGTTGTACTGCCAGGAGAAGGCTGCAGGTGAGGTTGATTCCTTGGTTTGGACCCTTTCTTCTTAAGGGAGGTTTGATGTTCGCTCATTTTATGGAAGGCTTTCAGATGATCCAAGGGCTGATTTCCCTTGGAAGGTAGTGTGGCACACCAAGGCCCCCTTAAGGTGACCTTCTTTTGCTAGACAGTTGTTCTGGGGAAGGTTCTGACTTTTGACTATTTGAGGAGGAGGAGACAGGTTGTGGTCAACTGGTGCTGTATGTGCAAGAGGGACGGGGAGATGATTGATCATCTTTTGTTGCATTGTTAATTGCCAGGGACAGTTGGAGCTTGCTCTTGTCTTTGTTTTGGGTTCCTTGGGTCATGCCAAGGACCTTGTTTGGCTTGATTGAGGCTCGGAGAGGATGTATAGTTTAATTTATTCGGAGCTATTAGAGTGGGATCCACTTTTTGGGGAACACAAGCCCGTGACTTTTGGAGGGTGGCATCCTTGTGCCTTTGGTGGTACCTTTGTAGGGAACATAATGGGAGATCTTTTGACGGCGAGGAAACTCCTATTGGGGTGTTGGAATTTTCTTTTCTCGGTTCTCTTTTTTGTTGGGTTGCTGGAGGAATTGTAAATCTTTGGAGGAGAGTTAACGTTTTGGACATTCGATTAGGGGCCTTTTTAGGCTCTACCTATGTTTTGGTGGGCCGCGTTCCCTTTTGAAGACTTCTAATACAATCTTACTTTAAAAAAAATTACAAATTGGACTCGGCTGTTGACAAAGCGCTGGCTACAGTTAATCGGTAATACACGTTATATACCTAGTGTTATGGACCATTCGGAGCGTTTTATTCATGCGTTTTTCTTTTACACGTGTGCACGCGTTTCTTACACGGTAAATCTTTTTAAATGCAGGCACGTTTGTTTTGCAACCCCTAAAGTTTTTACATATACTCCATATTTCATCCAACAAAGTCAGCTATCACGTGTTACAGGTAGCTTGTGAGGTCCTTGGCATGACCTAAGTTATGACGTACATTTTAGAAAATCTAAGAAGACTAGAGGCTAATAGACCATAGGCAATCCCACAAACACGTATCAATATAGATTATCCTATACTCCAAGTTACAAAGTACATTTTAAAAACCGTAAAAAAGCTAGAGGCAAATAGCCCATAGAAAGCTTTTTTGTAATTTTTTATTTTATTTTATAAATCCATAGAAAGGCTAGAGGCAAATAGCCCATAGGCCGGTATACAATAAAGCTTTTTGTATTTTTTTTGTTTTTTATAAAACCATAGAAAGGCTAGATGCTAATAGCCCGTTGCCATAGGTATAATAATAAACCTTTTTGGCAACTAATGGAGTTTGCAATGGTGGATTGACAATCCTGTTTTTGGATGTATGCATTCATTTGATTTGATATATATATATATATATTTCCTTTAGATACATCCTGTTAACATCTATTCTAATAACTTAAGCTATTAGAGAGAGTGTAACTTTAATATTTAATCATTCAACACACTTTTCACATGTGGCCTTCTTTTGGTTCAACACGCGTTTCAATTTTTAAATATCAAGATGAAAGTGAGGTTTGAATTCGAGATTTTTGGCTCTGATACCATGTTAACAACCAATTTACTATAAAAACTTACACTTCAGATGATCGAACCATTTATAAATAGTTTGATTTTGGTTTGAGGTTCTAGATGATCGAACCAAACTTACAAATTGTGTATCTATTCATATATTTTATATAATATAAATAATTGAATAATAAGATTAGTCTTTTAACCACTTAACCATATATAATAATATAATATAAATATTATATTATAATAGATTATTTTATAGTAGTAAATTAGATTGAAAAATTAAAACACAGTTCAGTTAGGTTCCAATTTTTATGGAACCTCTAGGACCACTTTGGTTGCAAAATATTCCGAAACCTGACCAATACGACTCGTGTGCATCCCTATGATTAAGTAAACGATGAATCATTCATTGTTGTTTCAATGTCTTTTTACATTTACATTTAGCATTTGAAAGCGAGAAGGGGAATGTCAACAACAGAACTCTGAACTTTGACACTAATTAAATAATTTAGCCACAATTGGATTTCCATGCATGGAGTGTGTTGATATTGGGCTACAACAAAGTCCAAATAAGGCCCACGACCCGCAAACGAAAAATACATCAAAAAAATCAATCAAACTTCCACTCAATGTCAATACTCAATAACTTTATGAAAACATAGTCATACAAAGGTCCCTCAGAAATAAATGAAAACAACTCTATTGAAACTCTTTGGCCTGTTCACTAAAACTTTCACTTCGTGATTTTCACTTTCTCCAAAGTAAAATCATAACTTGAGCTCATCTTGAGATGAAATAAAAAAGAAAATGATGTTTAATAATTTATTCTGCTCTCAATATTTTGAAAGCAAAAAATTAGAAAGTAAGTTTAATAATTTTAATTTTAATTTTGTTTTCCTGCCTTTTTACTCACTACTGTGTTCCCCTACCCTTAAAAACTGAATTGGCCTTCCTTCCACTGAAACCAGAGCCACTCGTTAACAACTTGAGCTCATCTTGCAAGTTCTTATATAAACAAGGCCCAAAGTGTAATGCAACAAAATCATTTGTCAATTCTAGGGTTTCAACTAGTGACCAAACTCTTCTCTTGAATGACTGGCCTCAGCTCCTCCAATATTCAATAGGGTCTGGAGACCTCATGCTTGGTGAGACCATTTATGGGTTTCTAGTATCTTGTGTGTAAGAGATGGGTAACCCAGTGAACCATCTCACTCTTTGGATGTCGGATCGTGGACCTCAGCCTCATCAATCTCTCTCTATATACTATTTGCCGATGCCGGCATCCATGGAAACCAGAGACTTGAATTTGGGTCTCCCTCTCCGATGCCGGAATCCATGGACAAACTGACTCGGAATAGAACTTTATGAATTGCTTGTGGATGTGAATTTGGGTCTCCCTCTCCGATGCCCAATTGCTGGATTCCTTGTACGCATCGTCACAGCATCGTCGTCATTCGGTCCGCCGGTAAGTTCAGTCCGGCCTCGGAGTCATTGCTAGCCGCCCCCGTTCATATACTTTCAGCCAAATTGGCTTAGGTTAAACCAGTAGAGAGAAAGTGAATCTGAGTGCTACAGTAAAAGTAAATAATTCCTTGCTACAATGCAGAAAATAGAGAAAGTGAGGATTTCCCACTTTCTCATCTATTCACAAAATTAGAAAATTAGAAAGTACTAATTTCTTAAAATTAAAAAGTGAAAATATTTTACTAAACATAATTTTTACTTTTGATTCCTGTTTTAGGAATTGACAGTAGAAATTAGGAATTATTCTGAACATGCCCTGTAACAAATGAAAAGGGATTTCCTCTTTTCACCACTATATGGATATGTATGTATGCAAGCTGATTAGAGCTAGAACGTACTTCATCAAAGCCCGAAGTAAAGATAAAGATCACAATATCAAACATCTAAGAAATCATCGCTTCCACATGCAAGCACTTGGACCTTTGCATGGTGAAGAAACTCTTTTAGGGCAAAAAATTCAACAAAAGGACTTCTCTCTCTCTCTCTCTCTCTTAGCATCATATAACGTCTTTTTTCTTCTTTTCATTCATTCCTTTTCTACAATCAACAGCCCAAGACTTCTTGTAGCCAAAAGGTTTAACAAAATTGTTCTTTATTCTAGATCCATTACAATTTCATCGATTCATTTTCATCTTCACAACTTCTAAATGTGCAAGCTTAACTCTTGTATGAATAATTTTTTGGGTGTGTGGGAGTGGGTGAGAAGAGGAGGAGGAGGAGGGAGGGGGGGAATTATTGATATAGCAACTCGCATGATTCTGACAGCTATGACTGGACAATTGTATGACATCCATGGCATGTCTATACTGTGTCTATATTGTGTATGCAATGTGTCCCTAGTGTGTCTATATAGCTAAAAGGAAAAAAAATGAAAACACGTTTTTAGCATATTCAACACAGGTGGAGCCATATCCTACTATGGGTTGGTTGAGTTAACCCAACCCAAACTGAGGTAGAGTCACCATAGGTTTTTCATCGTCTAAGATGAGCTTGGATATATGTCTTTCTTAAATATATCCCATTTCAATAAGGTCAATATAGTAAATTCTTAAACTCTGTAGACAAGCATTAACTCCTGTTACTTAAAGGGAAGTAAGTGTAATTATCCAAAACATAGGAGAGGTCCGTGTATTTTTCCCTAACTAAGTCACCCTTAGAATTTCCCTAACTAGGTCACCCTTAGAAATAACAGAATCCCTCTCAAGTTGTGGGAGGATTTTTTTAGTGTCTAGGATCTTTACTCTATAATGTGAAAAGTTAGCTTATTAGCTTCTTTATGATGTCAGTTACGATGCTTGATAAAATCATTCAAGCAAGCATTGAGCTAGGCAGTACATCTTTTTGGTGATACATTTTAACCTAAGAATCATCTTCCAAGTTTTTAGTTGGCTGCAAAATCCAAGAGAGGTTCACACATAAATGATCAAACCTCTGACATTCAGCAATGCAGATTCAACTAAAAAAAGCAGTCAAGAACAAATTTATGATTATGCAGAAAGATTTCCATTTATCTGGTTCGATTTTCACTTCTCATTTCTCCTTTTTTTCACCCTCTCATATAGCATATTCTCTAGTGATTACATAACAAGTGGAACAAAATTTCATAAACAAGAAAACTCTTGGTGAAGAAGACAATAACTTATCTATCTAAAAAAAATTGTACAACAAAGATCAAAATAACATACCAAGTTGAGCAATCCTTACATCAATATAACCAGAAGAACCAAGCAATAAACTATTCGGGGCACTAGTCTTATCACCGAGAACTCCACCAGTAAGCATACCGAAGTCAAATACTATTGGGTTGTAATCCTGCATTTCAGGATAACATAATGTCATGTAAAATTCTCAAGATACCTTGCTTCAAAATGAATTTTCATGCAAAGCTAGGTACGGTGAATATGTAGACAGAAAAAGCAACCTGATCAAGCATTATATGTGCAGCATTAATATTGCGAACAATGTATTCCGGGGATTGACCATGCAAAAACTCAAGCAAACGTGCAAATCCAATTGCCACCTTTATTCTTTGGAGCCAGGAAAAATTATCTACACCCAAAAAAAAAAAAAAAAGGAAAGACAACAAGGAAAAGAAAAATGTTGGTAAATAACAGAAACAATTTTTTTTCTTAATTACAACAACATTCCTGAAGCAAATAACCACCACACTTTGTACTGGTTGCAGTCCAAAGGAAGCAGAAATTTTCTTATTCTAAGAAAGAATAGATTTTAAAAATAATATTATCCCATATGGTGCAAAACTAAACAAATGAACTACTAATCTGATCAGCTTAAGACCAAGTTTAAGATTAATTGGATGTTGACTGCGAGGCAAAGTTATAAATGTCATCATAGTTCATGATATGATGAACAGCAGAATTAGTTTATATTGCGATCATGGTTGTTATTTTGCAAGTATTCTTTTGCCCCCACAAAAACTCTTCAAACATAAACTGAAATTTTTGATCTATATGCTGAACAAAGAGATACATGATAAGATAAAATCTAGGTGCAGAAAAAGAATCAAAGTGAAAAAAGTTTTAGTACCTTTAAGTATGAGATGGCGCACTGTATCCAAAGTATTAAGATCATAAACAACACCCAAAAGACTATCTTCACTGCAGTATCGCATCAACTTGGCCAAGTTTGGATGATGGTTGACACTTGGTTCTTTTAGAAAAGTACATTCTGCCTGGGAAGATAGAAACACATCATAGAAAAACTAAACTGGGAAAAAAAATCAAAAACAAAAACAAAAATTGTTATTACCATCAATTGGGAACGATTTTCATTCTTGCCAACAAAAAAGAATCCTCCCTCTTCCCAGATCTTCACAGTCACATCCTGACCTTGCTGACTCTTTCCTCGGAACACTCTGCCAAATTGGGTTTCCCCAATCAGGTTTGCTTCACTAAAATTATCAGTTAAATCTTTTAACTCCTCAGGAGAACATTTCCTGGGATCTATTCCTTCGCCTTCCATTGAGGGTCCTATTTCAGTTTTGTATGGTAGAATATAACGTGTCTTTTCGTATGATGAACCATGTGAATCAATATACTCACGAGTATGTCCTGCATTTTTTTGTATGTAAATTGCGTCGTTGTAAGTAAAATTACATCAAAACAAATTTATTCCTATATACAAACACAGAAACGAAGGCAATTCTAACACCAAATGAGGACTTTGAGTGCAACAGTTGTCTAAAATGGTTCAACCAATATAGAACAATCTACAAAATCATTAACGCTGCGTTGCCAGCGAGAGAGCACTAACCTGGAACTGAAATTGAAGATAATATCAGTCCACAATACAAATTACCCAATTTCCAGTTCCAAGGCATGAATTCCCTGCCACAAAACAGTGCCTGAGGAGAACCATGATTCAGGTTTTTTTTTCCGGGTAAATAAACCAAGATTCAGATTTGAAGGCACTGCAAGGAAAAGTGAAAAGAAAAAGAAAAAGAAAACCAAAACAATACATCAACCATTAAATGAAATATATATATAAACAAAGACAACAAAGCATTCTGTAACATTAATGATTAATCAAATCAGGAGGATATGGAGAACAATAGATCATCAGGTATCAATAACAAAAGGCGATCACAGTCTGCACTTCACAATGGAAATATAAATTAAAAAACAAAAATACTTGCAGAATTCTACATTCACCATCATGAAAGTTATCTTGGAGTCCAGTAGATTACTATTATGAGGGAACTAAATTGAATTTTCTACCTGTAGAGGGCAGGGCAACATTAGCATCTAGAAGCATCAGATTAATTACCTTTATCATTAAGGAGACAAACAGCGTCTAAACTCTCCAAACTTTGAACAACTTCTGGCATTCTTAGGCGATCTGAAACACTCAACCCTTGCACACAGCGGATGCCCACCTCAGTAATTTTGTATCCATCTTTTCGACTGAAACTTGAATATTTTTCAAAGCTACCGTGCACGACAGAGAACTTCAAGGCGCCAAAGCTAAAGCACGATTTCTTATGCTTCTTCTTCTTCTTTTCATATTCAGCATTGGCCCAACCGAATACAGGATTCTGACTCTTTTTGTTCCTCTCAAAGACTCTTTTGGATATTAGCTCCAAAAGTACAGCGCCAAATGAATAGGCATCGTTTTTATCCAGCCATTTACTTGTTGAAGGGGTTTTTAGAAAATGTCATTACAAAAGAGAAAAAGATGGTAAGAAACGAACCTAATTCACAGAAAATTTTATCCAGGATAAGACTGAAATAATTAGGACAAAATTTTGTATCATTTATTGTAAAGTGGGGGAAAAATTTAAAAATTGACATGCAAGAATTAAACAATATTAGAGATCAATAAGATCAATCAAATGGACTCCAGTGGAGTTTTATCAATAAGCTACACAGCTATTAAATGCCATATCTAAACTGAATACTCACGAAATTTGTTGGACAAGCAGATTCACATGGAGGATGTTAATGACCCAATTAATGAGAATAGGATAATCACCTTCCACTCCCACAATAGAGATCTCGTATATGAAAAATGGGATTAAAATTTTAGGCTTAGTAACATGGTGGATGTTAAATCATCAGTACATGAACGTGCAACTACATTTTAAATCATTGTAAAATATTTAGCAAAACTCCAATCAATTTCAAACAATAACAAGTTTAGAAGTTAAAAAATAATAATAAAAAATGAAGGAATAGTGGAATAATAGAAATTATTTTTGTAATAGGTAATTCAGTAATAAAAGGTAAAAACAATTTTGAAGCACAAATCACAAAAATACTCGAGTGAACTCAATAAAAGCCTTTTCCCCGGTCAGTTGTGCAACTCATGTTTTTCCCAATATGCACTATTTTTTATAATTTCAACAAGCCCTATGTTATCATATCTTTCCTTATTAACGTTGTCCATCTTAATTTCAGTTTTCCCCTCTATCTTGCATTATCCTTAATATGGAGCATACCATTTCTCTTGAAAGAAACCAGACAAACCTTTTGACTGTGATTGATTCTATAGCAAAACCATGGTAGCCTACCAAATAGGGAAACAAAAAAAAACCACACTAGCCCATTAGAGGAATAAATAAAGCCAAGTCTCCTGCTCCAAGGCAACTTGCACTGTAGACTTGTCAATGTATCTGATATTGATCCAAATCCAATCTGATAATTTGGATACGCATTCATAACCCTTTAACGAACTGAACTCGATGGATATTGACATGGTCGATGTGATACGATATTAGTCTGATCTGACATAATACAAATATAATATTCTATAAATAAATTATCTAATGCTAAAATATATAATATTTACATATTAATAAAAAAGTTTTATTATTGTTTTTCCTCTTCCTTTCCTCTCTCAATTTTTTCTTACTAATGTTTTCTTCAACAAAGAGACAAATATCTAATTTTCTTTTTGTTCATTTTTAATTTGTCTCCATCAGCTACACGTTCCTTCTTTTTTTGGCCCCTCTTTTTCTGATCACTATTTGCCAATCTCTTTTGACATCAATTTTTTTAAACAAAAAAGTATCCTACAAGGATCAGGTTATCAAATCAAATATCTGATCAACAACAAACCGGATATCGGTTCATTCAAAAAATATGTTGTACCAAATCAGCTTGGATAAAAAATAATCCCACTGAATTCAGATCGGATCGGACCAAACTTGATCCCGTCCAGATTTGATCCGCTAGCCAACATAGTGTATTCCTCTGAAAATGCTCGCAACACAGGACCTTTCGTACACTCGCTCTAAGGAGTGACAAATATGTGCCCCTTAAAACATTGGTAATTAGAACTTTAAGGGCTGAAATTTAGCATGAAAGATTTTAAGTTGATGCAATTATTTTTGAGGAAATATGCAAATCCAAATTCACTTTTGTTACGACGACAGCAGTGAACCCAAGAATCCCGAAAGAAAATAAACAAGCCACACATAAAATACAACGGAATTATACGTGGTTCGGCAAAGCCTACGTCCACAATGGAGATCTAGCGAAAGTCTTCACTATGCGAAAAATAGGATATTACAAGTTTTAGCCCTTCACACTCTTTCTTAGTATTTTCAGTGCCTCAAAATCTCTACACTCCAAACCCTAAACGCCCTTATATATCGGGCTACAAGAAAGTACTAATTAAGGTCCACGACCCACAAGCAAAAACGGGCAAAATTTTTTCCTATGGTTGCAACGCGACCTGGTACCAAATTCGGGCCACAACATCACAACTTTAAAACGTGCCTTTTGTTGTAAAGTATAAAACATATGTGAAGAGATATTAAACGAGAAAAACATAAAGATATTACGTGGTTCAGCTATTAGGGCCTACATTCACGGTATAAAAAGTTCAAAGGGCTACATCACTTTTATTATGATCTCTCAACTTGTACACAATACAATGGTGGAGGGTCCTCAATATAGAAGAAGAAATTATGAGAATGGAAAGAAATAGAAAATAGGAAAGGAGGATTTTTCTCCACTATTCCTTTAATAATAGCAAATCTTCAATAATAGGAAACTAAATCAATTACTCGAGAATTTTTCTCCACTGATTCCTCTATTACATCTTCAATATTCTCCCTCAAGTTGGAGCATGAATGCCCAACTTGCCATTGAGATGACGAGTAACAGCAAGTGCGAATAATAAAGAGAGATGAGAGAAGATGAAGAACAATGCTACCGAACACACCGGCAACCCAAACAAGTCAAACAAAAATTGCTGGAGACCACGGCAAAGGTGAAGACAATGCTACCTAACACACTGACAACCAAAAAAAAGTCAATACAAACTGCCGGAGACAGGCAAAGGCAAAGAATAGTGCTACTGAACACACCGGCAGCCCAAACAAGTCACAAATAGCACAGAGAAACCCTTACCAACATTTTAGATGCCAAGGGAATACCCCAAAATAGGGGTCCAAACCTAGGAAGAGAAATTAGGCTCTGATACCATGTAGTAAATAATAAAATAGAAGTGAAGAGAGAAATGAAACAAGAAGAATAAACCGATTCCTCCATTAAATCTTTAATATTCCTCCACTGATTCCTCCATTAAATCTTCAATACCTTTCATAAGAAATTTGTTAACTACCCATCTACTCTAAAAGTTTAAGCTGTTAGAGAGGGTGTAACTTTAATATTTAAATTCCTCAACACACCCCCTCATGTGTGGCCTTCTTTTGGTCCAACACGTGTTTGGTGAGGTTAAAACTCGAAACCTTTGGCTATGATACCATATTAACTACCCATATACTTTAAAAGCTTAAGCTGTTAGAGAAGGTGTAACTTTAATATTTAAATTCCTCAACAAAATTCAATCTCTATAATGACTTAAAATTATAATCCCTTTTAAAATGAAACATTTAAGAGATATCCCAAAATCTGTTATCAAGAGATACTTAATAGATAATCTGAAAGTCTTTTAGTTAAGTACTTGACTGGGATTACTAAAAAGTCCCTTATGTTTTTTTTGAGAAATCCCTTGTGTTGATGAATGACGAGCAAAAGTAACAAATTTCACAAGGCCCAAGAGACTGGAGGGAACATAAACCAAAATCAGAGTAAGGGATCAATGGGAAAATTATACATTTATGAAAATAGGCGATTTCAAGATTGAAAAGAATCTGTATATTGCCGCACATTGAATGGTTTACAATGCTTTAGTTAAATAGGAAATACAAGGGGCTAACAAAAGGAAACTATAGGCTGACTACAGGCTGTAACAGCAAGCTACAGGTTGTAATTACAGGCTATAAACTAACAGAAGCTACGGGCTGTACACTAACAGAAGCTACAGGCTGTACACTAACAAAAATTCCTAATCTTAGTCATTGACTATCTATATTTACACACCTATCATATCCCCTAAAATTTGGTCTTATTAAAACCGAATATCTCTTTTTCAACACTCCCGCTCAAGCTGGCTTGTAGATGTCTTCCATAGCTAGCTTGTTTCTTAAAACTTCAAACTGTCTCTTGTGTAGT